GTTTTGTTCGCAAGCAGAAAAATGCCTTTTGCGCGTAAGAGTCATTTTTGGCAGATCACAGTGCTTTTTGGTCCCATAGACCAAAGGTAAATACATGCAACAAAGCGCGTGACAAAATGCTCAGGTGTAAATAGGGGCCATATAAATGAATGGGATTCCTTGTCTTGAGCATTTTGTGTCACTTAGCTTTGAGCGACAAAATGCCTAGGTGTGAACGGGACCTTAGTATTAAAGCAGAACTAGACCCACCAATTTAACTGCCCCAAAACAAGTTAGATTTAGGGCATGCTAACTGTCATGGCTGCCAATGTGCTTATTTCAGCTCTCAACCAAACTTTCAAGGAGTTGAATACTGCTGGTCACATGTGCAGCACCATATCAACTGCAATCCAAATAGAGGCTAAGATGGCGCATTCCTTGGCTGTAAGGAATAGGAGGTTGTAGTTCCGCTTCAAGTCAGGATTTGAGCTAAGCAGACACAGTAGCAGCCTCCAGTACCCAACACCCTCACATACTACATGAGTATACCTTTGGCCCAACGTCTCAACTGCATCATGTTGATTGATGGCATGCAGGGGCAGAGCAGAAAAGTACCTGTGCGTGGTCCAAAACACATCCAACCTGGACTGCACTGATGTAAGGTCTAATATAGATTGTATAAGAATAGACTGGCTTGTTCTAAAGTTACCCATTGTCGTACGCGACAATGGGTTAAAATGAAATCATTACACTGATCCTTAGGAATGAGCTGATGTTTATTCAAACCATAAAGCCTACGAAACGCCAAGCCCTTAATGTATCTTAAGGGTGATTATGTGTTTTGTCAAGTAAAAGAGATGTATACACATATGTGCTATCCCTGCAACTACTTATCCTTAATTTCATGAATGAAGTACAGTAAATTAATGAAATGACTAAGCTGACTTTTAAGTAAAGTCCACGCTAAGCTGAAAAAAATCCAATGTTGTTTTAAAGACCGCTAAACAATTGTAAATGCGCATACCTGAATCATTAACTCAACTCAGTGTGCATGTTGTAACTGAATGTGTGCTGGTACATTGCAAACATATGGATGGAGGAAAATCTTACTTGTGAACAATAAAAAACAATTTAACTACTGAGCATTTCACAGTAGACAAGTCATGCTAAGAGCTTTATATAGAAGGAAAGGATTATGCTAATACTTATAAAAAGCTGAAGCATATGTTTTCACAGAGTAGTTTTTGAAAACCAGTTTGAGTGCTGAATTGCTACATTCCGATTTTTCTTTTTGCAGTTATGTTAATAATTTTCCAAAATAAATTAGAAAAGTTCCAGAAGATTTTGAAGGACAAGAAAACCTTTCAAAATAAACCTGTGGTCACTGCTGGTAAACTGGAAGGATGCTTGGACATAACCTGCAGAGTGCCCTAAAACAGCGTTTCTCAACCACGGCACACTTTAAAAGTATACAACATCTTGAGTCAACCCAGTCTAAAATGCCATAGATGTGAAGGAGAACCCCACACAAAAAAAGTGGATTTCCCCCTTCATATCGAAGTGCCCCCTTCAAATAAAGATTACCCCCCTAACATCAGTGTCACCCTTTGCATCAGTCCCCTCCTTCATTTCAGAGCCCCCTTTCACATCAGAATCCCTTCTTTAATTTCATAACCCCCTTTTCACATCCAAGCTCCCCCTTTACATTAGGAGCCGCCTTCACCTCTAACTTTCTGCGTACGAGTGCGGGTGTCCGTACTCGTACGCAGAAAGGATAGAGCATGGACACTCACACCCACACACGCACGAATGTGCAGCTCGGGTGAGCGTACGGCCGAGTACTCCCATAGAGAACAGGCTGCTGCTTACAATCACACGCAGCACCTGTCCTTCCCAGGAGCGTCCTGATACGGCCGTGCACGCCACATGGATCGGTATGGGCCAGCTCTTAGCAGTGTGAATGAGGCTTAAAAATGACAGCTGCCTCCTAACTTTTGAATTTTTCTCTAGTCTAGTCTTGGAGCTGTAAAAGTATCTGTAGTTGTAATTGTACTGAGTACAGTACTTGGTATCTGAACATCCCTATCCCAAAGTAAATGTAGCATAAAACTCAAGTGAATACTATTCTATAAGATTCCAACCAGAAATCAAACATTGCACTCCAAAATCTTTTCAAACTGCTTCACAAACCGAGGGCTGAAAAAAAAACACGTGTACACAAACCAGAATGACGACTTTGCAAAGTAGAAAAGGTGGTGGAGGTTACCAGTCTGTCATGGGACACTCAACAGTGAAGGAGAATATTAGCCATCATGGCTGTCCAATAAGATTCTATTAATAATGTACACCTTGCCTTGACAAATGAATCATTGTCTCCAATAATGTCTTTAGGAGATACTGAAGGATCAACTTGAAGTGATCACAAGTCTGAGCCCCGGTAAGCCATTATTTGGGTTTCAAATATTTTATATTTCCACCAACCTGAATCACAATCCTTGCTCCTTTTTGTTTCTGTATTTCTCTTTTAAAGTGGATTTTGAAGCCTTGGGGCATTATTACACACAGCAGCAACCCATGAATATAGCTTGGTCATGGAGTCCCATATCACTTTCACACCTTAGTCACTTGCCAAGGCTGCCTTGTGAATGATCCAAGCATGTCACCACGCCACTACATTCTACAGAAGTGCAGCAATGCCAAAAACTAAAGGAGACTCTATTACTTTAAATAACTTTAAGAGAAATGAAGCTCTGTTCTCCTGCAGGCAAGTGTGAAGCAGGACACGTTTTGATCCACCATGTCTGTGCCATGCATTCACCCAGCATAAAACCCGAGTGCATGAATCTTAACCACAGCAAAATCATGCGGCTCTGAACAAGCTCGTAAGTCCTTTTAAATTATATGACATATTTTTTGGGCGACCAAGTACATTGGCCCAGTCAAATCACTGCATCCCTCATAGAGATACATTGTATGTTGTTTGTACATCGTGGTTAGGGCTAATTTTTTTTTTTGCTTTGTTTTCTCAAGTCTAGAAACGGACTGTCCGTTCATGATACTACCTATTGTCCCTGTTTAATCCTGAGAATAAAAAGTAAAAACATGAAATTTCAAGAAATTCATTGATTGTTATGTAAGCATATAATATAGATACAATAAAAATAAAATATAAAACTTCTTGTATTCGGGATACATTTTAGATCTTGTTTTTCTTTCTTTTTTTTATATGTATATAATATATATAATAAATTCAACCAGAAGAAGAAAACGCATAGAGAGTTTTTATTACAGAACAATGATGAATATACTGTACACCAAAAAGCGGTGCTGCAGCGCCACCTGCTGCTGAAATGTACAAATGGCATGTTCTCATCCTAACATTGCAATTATCATGTACAGTCTGAAAGTGTATTTCGACTTTTGCAGTTTTGTTAAATTTAAGAAAACTCCTCTATATGTTTTCTATGTTTTCCATTCACACACCATACCTAAAATTAATTCATTTTTACCTTTTATTTTTTTTTTTACAGAAGGTCTTTTACCAGACTGTTTCTCCTATCTACATGTCCTGAGTCAGTCTGTCCCCAAGACAAAGGGGAACGGCCTGGGTTTCCTCTTGTTAACATACAATGTTTCTAATTCTTTAACCCTTTGTTAGGACAGACAGTGTTTAATTCTAGTTTACAACTGAAAGTGAGATCTGCAAGTACAGTGCAGCAAGGGCCAATTATGGTAAACATTAACTCAAGCCCCCTCCTTGAAATTTCAGTGAATGGAAAAGCTTCAAGTTGAACAACTCCGGGCAAAACTTTTCTTAAGCCTTGCAGTGAGGCCACCCCCACACCGCAAGTTTTTAGGGGCTGGTTTCCATCTAGGTACTAAAATGAAAAAGGTATACTCACTTGATCCTCGGAGTCAGTTGGCTTTTCAACTGGTCCATCCATCCTCCCTCCCCTTCCGCTGCAGCGGTCCAAGGTCCCGCCAGTCAAATATACAGTATAGGAAGTGAGGACACTGAGAGACCATTGCTGCAGAAGAGGTGGAGACAGACTGGAGGGAGCGCTGTAACAGCCAGCTGGCTCTGAGGTTCAGGCGAGTAACTTTTTTTTATTGCACATTGAGCAGGTAGCCCCTACGGCGCAGGTGCCCAGAGTTATTTACATTTAGGAGTTTTCATTTTTATGATACAATGTGAAAAGGAGCATGCAACAAATATAAAATAGGTGTTATCCCAATGTGGCTGCAAAAATGGAAATACACTTTAAATGAAAGGAAGTCGGTGTTGAATATAATAATTACACCGCCATTGCTGGTCTCCTGATAAAAATTCCAGTTCCATATTAACAACTCAGAAAGTAAAAGTGTCACTGGAGCATGGCAGCCAGGCAAATAACATTTTCATGCTCGAGGGCCTGTCTTTACTTCCCTGCCAGCATACAATAGGACGACCTCAGTGTCCAGTAATCTAACTCTCTTTAAACAGGTAGATTGTAGAAGGCTGAACTTACTGAGTTAGGCAAAGTCCAACCTAGGTAATAATATGATACAAAATCATAGAGGGGCATAGAAGAGATATTTCTGGATTTGGATGGCAATAGAAGGCATCTTTGGGTGTCTGCACTTGGACATGGCCTTTATAATAAAGTATAGGCCGATTTTAGGTACAAATAATAGATGACATTCCTGCTATCTGTGGATCACATTGCCAAATAACTTCTCCCTAAAAATGCCCCCATAAACATGTGCATTTGTACCACATGAGAATACATGCTTGGGTATAGTGCAGCCTCTCCTTTCATTGCTCCTATCTCTGGGGAACAATAAGCTTCCCGAGGAGAAAAGAGCAAACCCCCAGCTAATTTTCAGAGTTGAACCTAATTCTTGGTCAAAGGTGCCGACTTCCAAATTCTTAAATGTTATCTCCCATTTTGTAAGCTCTCACCATTATGACTCATATATTACAGAAATCAAATAAGCATTTTTAATTAATCGAAACATAACAGGTTCAGCATTTAACTTACCAAAGGCCGCAGTTCAGGGTGAGTCAGGATATAACCATTGTTGGTAATAGCAAATGCATACCCATGGATTCCCAGCTGTAACAAGAATGTAACAAACATAAAATATATTATATTCTCATTGGCTATAAACCACCTGACATGATCATATGATGCTCAACCTGTATCAGAATGGAGCATATCAGCAAAAAATTAGGCCTCTTCTAGACGTGCGGCTGAGGAACGGTAAGATCAGGCAGTTGATTAGCCTTTCTGCTGCTCCTCAATCACCCGCTGCAATGATAGTATTGCAGCTGAGCAGTGCTGTATACTTTGCCACAGCTGCAATCCTTTATGGTGCAGCAAAAATATACACCATGGAGGTGCTGCAACCATGTGCCAAATGGTTGTCACGTAGTTGCTTGCTCAGTAGCTCAGTGAAAAATCCCTCTTGGCATAAAAAAGGGCATTCAGGAGGTGGCAGCATTGACTTCTGGACACAAGCAGCAGCTGCTGCTCTACAGCCCCATGTTAATCGATTGCTTTTCACAGGTAGCCATCCGTCTAAACAAGACCAACCATTTCTACCACTTCTGGACGAAAGCCCTTCCACAGATATCACATGACTCATTGCCTAGGCTTTTGGTCATATGAGCAGTACCATAAGGAGTTTGGATTGGCATTCTCTTCTGGGAAACAAGTATGTCAGCGCTTCTATTACTCCTTATTTTTATATCCAAGAAAGGTCCACTTTAATTGTATCTGATGTAACGTAATGTTTCAAGCCTACTTCACTCAGTTCTTATTCCGATATGCGTTGGACGTGAATAAAACAATATCTGACCAACTATAATAGATCTATTTAATACGCATAAAAGCATTCATGTCTTAGAGGCAGATCTTCATCACTGTTCTACATTATCCTTTCATGTGTGCATCCTGTGTTCCTGATGTCACTTAGAATCTGCGGTCTTATAGCCATGCTCATACAGTCAAGAGTTGGTCAGTGTAGTATGTGGCCATGAGATCACCAAGTCAGACTGATCAAAGTAAAAAAAAAAAATTGTATTTGCACCAAGCCCTTTAGGAGATCTGTTTATCCAAAAAATAGACTTTTAACATATGGAAACAAAAAGAAACTGACACATTTGCTAAGTAATATATTAATGCATTGGACCAACAAATAAAAAGAAAACTTGTCATATAGCACTTACTAAAGCACTACTAAAAAACATTTGATTTCTGTAGGTGTTGCTGCCGGTGATCTACTCTCACTTCCTGTTTGGTGACATGTCTGTCTCTGTCATAGTTAAGCCGGGTATACATGCTTTGAATTTCAGCCAGTTCTTGATGTCCCTTTTGGAATTCGCTGCATGGGTGCCGGCACCCTTCCACCCAGTGTCCCTCAATCAGCTGATCTAAGGAGTTGGTTGGAAAATTTTCGACTGAACAGAGCTAGCAGCCATTGTCAGAATACAAAGGAAACAGCAAAGAATCACCCATCAACGCTCGCAAGTGTTGATGGAGTAATCTGTTCTTTTTTCTCGCTCAGCCCGTGGGTTGAACAAAAGAAATAGAACCGTGTATACCCGGCCTTAGTGAGAGGAAATCTCTTTAACAGAGCCCGGATAACAGTCAAAGCTTGGCAGTGGTTCTATCCCTTCTCTATTCTATCCAAAACTAAAACAAAAAAAGTTTTGGCTGCTTATACACCTAAAAAAATAAGTCAATACTTTCTACTTCCTCTCCGGTTGAACAAAAATGTGCTCTTACACACCAGGAGAAGGTTGATATCAAGCTTCAGTGGGAATGCCAGCTCTGTAAGCCGATGATCTAGACGGGTTATGTAATGGTATGAAAGAAGGTGGGCATTGCCAGGGTGTTGCAGTCTAGTAGTAGTTCAAGCACCAGGCAAAAATGGGTTTATCACCTTCTTTAACAAGGGGGAGGGAACCACACAAGTACATGCAACAATGTATACAGTATATCCTTCATATAAATAGTTCTGCATATGGCTGTATGTCCTATATATTTACACAATTGATACTTTTAGGCCTCATTTACACTGCGCTAACTCAGGCTGTACACGTACAAACACGGACACCTGGACCCGCACGGATGTACAGTTTGGGTGTTCCCATAGGGAAGAACATGCCGGTACGGGCGTGTAGGCCCCTAGTTAGCGCAGTGTGAATGAGGCTTTACTCTGGGCAGATGACCTTGCACATATCAGTATATATAGACTTTTCTTTTAATACTTTCACTGTTCTGCAAGCTTCCCTTTCTGCGTGTTTAGTATATGTGATGATAAAAATCCCCATCATAGGTCACAATTACATCCACTGCGGACTTTGCAGTTTAAAAAGCCTTTCTCTGAGTTTGTTTATAGAAGGTTACAAGTAAGACATATGAGGAAAAAAGCACATGTAGTTTACAACACTAGGGGAAAGAGCCAGGCACTGCTAAACACCTGTGATCCATTCATATAGTTCTCTGTTCATCTGGTTTTCCCGTGTATCCAAAAAAGAATGTTTTATTGAACACTCAGCAGAGAACAGGCCTGGAAAAGGGGTGCATACACTTAAAGAATAGGGGCACATTTGATACTTGTTTATATTCTAAAGCAACACCTCCAAAATCATTTTTTATTATCTGATGACATTGATTATCCAGTATTTTAGTAAACACTAAAAAGCAAAATAAGCCACCTTTATTAACAAGTAGTCCTGTGGCATCATTCAGGGCATGTCAAGATACAAGTGATTTATATGGGCAGAAAACAATCTCCAACTGTATGCAGAGAGGCAGATAAACACAGCAGCAAAGAACAGCAAATAACAGATATTTTCTTATATCCGTTATCTAAAAAGTTCAGCTGTTCCCATGAGTCTTTAGAAGCAACAAATGACTTCAACCAACAAGAGTAGGATGTAATTTTCTGTACAGTCAGCCACTACCATATTAACAGTCATTTACCAATATAAAGTGGAAACTTTATAAGGTATGCTAATATGGCACAGGGTACAACCACCAATTGTGGAATGCAAATCTCTGTAATTTCTCTTAAAAGGAACACGTATACACACTGTATAATTAATTGTATCAATAATGTTTATTGATCTAGACCAGGGGTCCCCAAACTTTTTAAACAAAGGGCCAGTTCAATATTCCTTCAGAGTTTAGGAGGCCTGGACTGTGCCCAGCGGGAGTAGTTAATGCCTTAGGCTTGGTAGTCGGTGGGAGTAAAAAATATTGTGTGTTCTTTGGGAGAGAGATAATGCTTCATTGTTGGTGTCAGTGGGAATCATAGTGCCCCATCATTGGAATCAATGAGAATGGTGCCTCATCCCTAGTATTAGTGGGAACATTAATACCGCATTGTGGGAGAAATTGTGCCCCAACAATGGTCACAGTGGGAAGAATTGTGCCCATCATTGGTGTCAAAGGAAGAGATTTTGCCCCATCAATGTGTAAGTGTAAGAATTAGTGGTCCTTGGAGTCAGTGGGAAGAATATTGACCCAAGAACCAGATAAAGGCAAGCAAAGGGCCTCATCCAGCATTCAAGCCACAGTTTGGAGACCAATGGTCAAGAAAAACAGACCAAAGAAGCCTGCTTGCATCTTTTCACCCCATGAAGTTTAGCCACCTACCCGGCATCATAGAATAATTAGACACAGTAGGTGGGCAAAATGTGTTGAGGTGGGAGGGTGCAGACTGGACTTCTTTGGTATGATTGTCTGGATCAAAAAAGTTTATTGAGATGCTGAATTATATGGTATGCAGGCACATTTCTAATGTTTTTGTTGTTAAGATTCGGTCAGCAAACAGAAATATTGTTCTCCAAGCAAAAATGAATCAGCACACACAAACAGCTTACAACAAACATCAGAAAAATATCACTGGAAAGAGCATTGCTTCCTTGTTCTCACATGTTTCTCTGATTGCAGGTAGTGTGACCACGTAATATGTCTTTGCATTATGAAAAAAATAGTTAGTTATGCTGACTCACTCTCCTATACCTTTTTCAAAACAAAATGATGGGGAGTGGTAGAATTTTAAATGTCCATGGGAACTAGCTTGAAAGTTTCTAACAATAGGTGGGCCTCAGTCACATCCTGTAAATTAGTGAACACCAGTTTAAAAAGTATTACCTTGTATTTGGGAATGGCCTTTAAAAGTTCTTTCACTGGAACATCTGTGCCAACCACACCTAGGAGAACCCCCTTTGATCTCTGCACAAAACAAGAAATGAAGGAAAACAGGCATCTAACTAAGGTAAACATTCATTGGTAAAGCATTACAGACATACACTAATTATTTTCACGTTGTCATAAATCTATTACAGTACACAGATGACTTTCAGCTTTGTTGTGCCGACGTTTCAGAGACACTGATGGATATGAATGAAAATAGAATGAGAAAAAACAGCTGTCATATTTTTGTTTCTTCATTCGGATGAAAAATGGTCATGAGAAATGGAAACATGAGAAATTTATCAGCGGTAATCAACAAATTCGTGTTTCAACAACACGTCAAGGAAGATCTGACACGTTTATGATTGCAATTATTATGTGAATTTCCACAGCTTTTATCACTGCCAAATGTTTTTAAGAGGAAAATGTGTGCCTGGCATTGTATTGCAGTTCAAGTGTGCTTAAGGCCTTCACCGAGAGTCAGCCATGTTGGGCCTGCATCAATATGTGATATAACAGAGCCTACAGGTTCATTAAGGACTTGAAGAATTGCCAAAGGCCTGGTTTTCACAGACTTATCTTAAATTGGTTGCCAACTGTTCATCAGAATCACATTTGCCCCATTACCCTCTTTCTTCTCGGTCATGAGATGAAATGGGAGCCTGCACGCAAGCTATAGAATATATGTATACTTCTTTATTATACTTCGTCTTAAGTTAAAAGTCAACCATCTTCCATCCCTCTTTCATAATGTGCAATTCCATAACTTAAAGGAGAACTATGAGGTGAGTGAAAATCACTCATCCTCATAGTTCGAGCAGATGTGTGACAATAAAACTGTCACACGTCGGCTCAATAGATCGGGAAGTGAGCAAACACATACCGTTGCTCGCTCTCTTCTCAATCATCTCCCTGCAGGGATTCTCCCCCTCCCCGCTCCGATCCTCCAGCGCTAGATAGGCAGAGCCAGCTGTCACTCACGCAGCTGGGTGGATCTCTACAGTAATGCCGAGATCTGTCTTGGCTGCGGCGGTCTCAGTATACCGCAAACTGTAGCTTGCGATATACTGAGCTTTGGGTCACGGGAGGAGGTTAGTATATGACCTCCCGTGACCCTTAAGAGAACTATGGGGAAAAACACTTACCCCATAGTTCTCTTTTAATTAAATCAAGAAACAAAGCTAATTCAAGATGCTATTGGTGCGTGCCTGAATTAACATGGATGCATTAAGTGCCCCTGAGCATTAGAAGTGCTGATTATCAAACACAGAGATCTTCTAACATTTAAAAAAATCGTAGTGTAACCTTACTTTTACCATTCTCTTTTTTGATGACCCTTTTGATACTTTTGTTTACTCGGTGAATACTGTACCCGGAGTGAAAGTTGAACTCCAAGCAAATAAATGTAGCCCCTTCGCCCTAAGTGGAGTGGCTCTTTACATTTAGTATTGCTGGAACTGTAATCAGTTGGGCTATTTTGTTGTCTGTGATCATTTGATCATTCCTAGGTGTTCTGCCTATGCCTCGACCTACCTGTGGTGGGGTTTGACCCTGCCACAGAGTGGGGAAGCCAATGGGAAAACATTGGGGGTGTTTATGTCTCTCTAGCCAATCACTAGGAGTTTCATGGCCAGTGGTGCATGCTGGGGAAGTGCATAAATACCATAACATTTTTTAAAAAGCCATGTGCTCAGGGCAGTCCAACCTTGGGCATACCCTGGGGGTAGGCGGTATACAGTTGGAAAAGCTAACTGTGCTTGATGTCTGCAGTAGTCCATATGTAGACTAAGGTAAGGTCTGGAACTGTCTGGAATGGAGAACCAGAAGAGCCCTTTATCTGCTGGAAATGGCAGAAAGGCCAAGATGGCATGGACCTCAGGAACAAGTTTGCTGTCTCAACCAAGGAAGATCTTATGAGTGCTATTGTCCCTGCTAAAGAATTTGTATTTCTGTCCCTTCCGCCCTGAGAGTTACACAGTTATACCTCTCAGACCTGTCTAGCAAGGGAAGGGGCCTGATCTTTCTCTAATATAGTTTCGATATTACTTGCCCCTCCTTACTCTCACCCTGTATATGGACAGTGATCAGAGAAGTAGCACACAGATGAAAATATATCTATGTCACTCTACTTTCTTTTTGTCATTATGCTCTTTGCACAGCAGCACATCTGATTGGTTCCTGTGCTGCTTCTCCCTCCTCCACTCTGAGCTCGGTTGCACAGGGAGTGTAAGAGGCTGTTATCAAGTCACATTCAGGTATTTACACTGCATTAACATATATTTAATCAAATATTAATGATTACAGAGCTCCATTAGTCTGTGCCTTTTATCTGCCTTGAGTTCAGCTTGTTATATCACTCTGCTAAACAATGTGTTAATACTAGTAATTGACCCTTCTTTCAGCTCTGAAAATACCTTAAACAGTACATGCTGTGTTTGAAGTCTTTCCAGCGCTGAAAGAAGTGAGCGTGGGTTTTGTCCACCAAAGAGATCCATTGCATCTTTGATGGTTATTAACACCCTTTGTATAGGAGTGGTGAACACTTAGAAGCTCACATGTGCTCATTTGCTGTAAAAAAAAAAAAAAGGCTGTGATTATTAGACTTTAAAATACATGTTTTAGAACAGAATGTATTGGAAATCTGTGTACCCAACACCTTTTAGTACCGGACTGTTAATTACATTTTGACTTTAATTTTGCAGGACTCTTAGCCAACAATGATATTTACAGGCTGCACACAAAAAAGTCACCCATAGTTCTTCATATCATGGACAATCAGACCAGTAAACTGTATGTGATAACATCGCTTGTTAGGGAGCTTCCTTATTTTCCCCTTGACCACCAAAAGGTTAGCTGTACATCTGGACTTAAAACAGTGACGTTAGACACTGTTCATTTAAGAGCACAAAATCTGCACTTCAAGCAATTCGAAGGTGAGGTAACCCAAGCTTCCTTCTTTTCATTGTGCTAAAATGAAATCTTAACAGCCTAAAATCGCTTTATATCACTTACGTTTTTTTCATTTGTGCCAACAACAAAATTTATTGTGGCCTGCACCAGATGTCTGAGAAATGTTCATCTAAAAAGTTCAAAGCCTTTCTAAAGGCTCTTAAACCTCGCCAGCGCTGTAAATTGTCTCGGGTCTTTGTTTTCACCAGGTTTTGCAATTATATTTTTGCTGTAGAGCAGAGTTTTGTATGGTAACTAGATATCACCAGATAATGATACAACAGACTTTAGCTTTGCATTCTGTTTCTTTATAGATGAATAAAAAAGCTGTGTAGGAGAACACAGGGTATCAGTACTGGGGGCATTTTGCAAATGGTAAAATGAACTGTGTGCAATTAAAGCTGGGTGTGTAAGATATTAAAAAGAGCTTATTAAAGGAATGATATTTAAAAATATAATCTAAAAATATGATTTGCTGTAAATCAAAGATACAAAATGTATTCTAAGTAGCAGGGTATGAAAAAAATTGGTGCAACAGACCAAGCTCATGTTATCTATCTAAGATGGGTTCTGATCTATGTCAAATCTGTGCTACTTGTGGCAATGCATGGCCATTGGATGATCATAACATTTGGATGAACGAAAGAGAGAGAAAATTGTTAGTTAAGTCACATTCAAATCCTCATGTGGTGAAACTGAATAGTTTTTTTCCAATGTGACAACATAAGTTGAGCCTGGCACCTAGGTTAAAAGGGCCTTGATTAATGGGCACATATTAGGCTTACTGGCATTATGCCAGTAAAATTAAGGATGTAGGGCTTTTAGGGGGCCAACATGCCTAGTCAAACTGGTACTTACATGGACTATGAAGACTTTCTCACCATAGGCAACTTCCAGGAGCATTCCTAGGGGCATACTCAAACTGGCATTAATGAGCGTTTTCACTAATAGCATTGTCATTAAGTTTACCAATTCTCTCTACCCTAGGTCCTTATTACGCTAGCCCTGTTTTAGGCATTTAACCGCAGGAAATGGCTATTAGGAGTTAATTAGTATGGGCCACTGTTAGGCACTTCTAAGAAGTAACCCAATATAAAGAATCCAAGAAAAAAATACACATGTGAGTGCTCAACTAAAATTAGACATATAGCACAGAGATCTGTATTCAGTATATCCGCGTGGTTCGCAAAATTAAGCAATAAATACAGAAAATAAGCAATGAATACAAACAACTGTGCTGTGTTGGATAGGATGTCAGCATATTTAATATTAACATAGACCCCCACAGATGCCGCAAAAGCACAGTCCAAGTATCACTGTGCCTGTGCCGCATTAGTCCAGGTTTTTGTCCTTTTTGAGGTTGCCCTTACTTGGGCTTCACCATTCCAATATATTGGAATTCTATGGGTCCACTAACAATATCACCGTTGTTTACTTAGGACCCCTCAAGCACAAAAGCAAAAATTGAAAATGTTCTTACTGCTCACAAAATACAGCTTTTATCTCAGATGCGGTATAATTGTCAACATATTTAAAAAAGCATTCAGAAATTTTAAGCATTTTGAAAAGGAAATATAAAGCACTGACCAGATTGCGCCATACTTACCGTTTCATTCTCTTTACTAAACACAGGCATTGCAACAGTTGTCATCAAAACCAATCCCTGATCATCGGCAAGCTGGACAGGATAGAAAGGAACATTAAAAGGAGCACGCAAAATATTAGCAGTAAATCATCATCAGCGATGATAGTTCGTTTTGCTTTGCTGAACAGAAATATTTGATACAGAAAACAGATTTTTTTATATGTACCAGCATGACTCATTTCACTAGGTTTGCATTTGTATTATTATTTGTATCTTTTAATTCAATATACAGGGTGAGTTAATCTAATAACAATTTTACTAGAACTAGAAATTCTACTTAATTGACTTTGGATGAAGAAAGATTAGGGTACCAGATGTACCTCCAGAATACTACATACAGAGAAGTGAACACCTCCCATTATATGCCTTTAAGGCACATGTCACACCAATAACAAGATCACTAAATGTGCAGGGAAAAAACTTGCTTGCATCCATGTGTCACTCCAACACTAGCTGGACAGCCAAGGTGTTGCTTCCTTGCTGATTAAACTGCTTCAGGATATGCCACCAGCAAGAGAGCGGTTTCATGCTCATCTAACTGGCAAGGGAGTGACACATATCAATGCGTGAGTGTTTCATTGCCCTGCTGTGTCCTGCATAGAGATCCTGCAGCTAGCAATTTCTCACCATCAACATGATTGCTAGAGTGACAGGGCCTTGTTGTTTCAAAAGACTTTCCTTTGAAGTTAGTTAAGCCAATACACAGGCTTCACCGGTAGACACAGTGTGTGCAGTAAAGTAAGAAAAAGATCCAGGCAAGGTCATAATGACAGATGTACACACCTGGGATCTAGACACAGTATAATTTTACACATGGTATCCTAATCCCACTCCACAAAAAAACACATTTGTTATTGGAAAGGGGGTGGGTGCAGTTTTTTTACTCTTGGGGGAAAAAAAAAAGAGTTGTAAGGCTGTCATCAACCATACAATTTGGAGGTCGTCTTTTTGGTATAGGACCAAACATCCATAAGACTACAATCAACTTCTTAGTGCCATCATGAAGGCTTCATTGGCATTTAGTCAAGATGAATCTTTTAAAACAAGCATATACTGTGTACTTCTGACATAAGTCAATTTGTAATTTAATGGTATTAAAAATGACTCTCTATCTCAATTTTCATAAGCCATCTGCTTTTCTAAAACGGCCAAAGATTGAAAAAAAGTTTCTCCTTTGTAACCTTGGTAACACAAAGAGTGCACAGAGTACCCCCAGAATGATAATTTCCTGTTCATCGGATTGGCTTACTACTTTTCTTAGCAGTTTTCCTATTATTGAATTGGTGAGTATGAACGTGTGATAATAGCAGGCAGACCCTCCCACTTAGCACTCAGTAGGAAGTGGCAGGAGTACATTAGCAGCAGGTAATGCTCTGCAGTAATGTATGCTGAATTCTTGCAATATATAGAAATGACCTGGAGAGCATTATATTCTTCTTATCAAAAGTGACCCTTTTAAAAATTAGGATAAAATTCTGTGCACTTTGAAAATTAGCAGTTTCATATGGAAAAAAAGTCATTTTAGAGAATAATAAAACGTAACCAATACAAATAACCTTTGTGATTTAAACAAATAGTTAAAATAACCAGCTTTATAAATAGTCTTTGTTACCATATCTTTCTTTTTGCACCGTATTTTAAATTGTACCTGTGCCCAGACTATGAACATTAAACTCTTTATATATTCTAAACAAGCAAGAAGCCTTAAAACCCCTGACCTGTGTAGCTGCTGGTACTGTGCAGTAACCCATTCTTAAAGATCCTCTAAGATCAGAACAGAGACACTGAAGTTGGGTTTCAGTCAGTTTCTAGCAGCTTAGAAATATTTGCTGTGTGTTCACATTAGGGGACCGGCAGGCTCCCAAGATCTGCTCTCATAAACAAAAGCTGCGATTTCAGTGCTTTTGTTGTGAACTTTGAAAATGTATTTCTCCACCACACCTATGGCTACAGAACTATGAGGTCTTAATGTAAAGTGCTAACACTGCTTGTTCAGAATATGTAAATACTTTAGTGTGTCTGGTCTGGGCAGCGATTCACTTTAATCTATCAATTATCACAGAATACTCATAGACAGATAAGCGCTGAGCAAACTGTTGGCACTATATAAATCCTGTATAATAATTAGGGATGCACCGATACTGGTATCGGTGCCGATGCCAAGTATTTGGGTGAGTACTCTTACTCGCCCAAATGCTCTGATGCCTAGCCCGATACTTGAGCTTCCAGTTTCAGGAAGCCGGGCAGCGAGTCATGACACGCTGCCCGGCTTCCTGATTGGCCGGGAAGCCGGCTCCATGCTCCCTGGTGACAGGGGAGCATGGAGTCGGATTCCCAGCCAATTAGGAAGCCGGGCAACGTGTCATTACACGCCCCCGAGTTTCTGATTGGCTAGAAAGTTGGCTTCATGCTCACTCATCACCTGGTGATGCGGGAGCATGGAGCCAGCTTCCCGGTCAATCAGGAAGCAGGGCCCCCATGTAATGGTGTGTTGCCCTGTTTTCTAATCGGCCAGCTTCTCGACTAATCAGGAAGCCAGGCAACACGTCATTACACAGCACCCAGCTTCCTGATTGGCCACAAAACAGGTTCCTAATCAGGAATCCAGGTGGCGAGTCATTACACGCCACCTGGCTTCCTTAATGGGACGTCCGGTATCGGTATCGTCAATTACCGTGAAAAAATATCAGTACTTGTACTCGATACTGATAAAACGGTATTGGTGCCTCTCTAATAATAATAATAATAATAATACTTAATAGACACAGCTGCATCTAAGGTTCCCCTTTGTCAATAAGCAACAACTGAACATCGCCCATTAAGTAAAATAAATACTTTTTAACCTTTGTAAAATAAGGGGAAAAGATAATAGATTTGATTTATAAAAAGATGATGCTACTAACATGCCGTACATACAGATATTATATTGATTTTTTTCTTTAGAGGATAAGTGCCCTTTTATCAAAACCTTTATTCTTTATAGGGGATTAGCAATAATAAGGATTTTCTTTGAAAAATCTGAATATTTCAGAAGAATTTCACAATTTTGGCTAAATGCATTTGAGTCAATGGGGAGGGCAAAATGAAAGTGTTTTTTTGTGTATTAAAGAGTGAATGCTCATTTCAACTATCCTGGACCTGTTCTGCCAAATAAATGTCTCTCATTGACTTTGATTTTTTACTTTTTCACGAAAAGAAAAAAACAAACAAGGAAAAAATTTGTAAAGTAAAACATTTAAAGCAACACTACAAAATAACAATCACATACACAAAAAAATGATAACAGATGCAAATACAAAGAACACTACATTAAATACATTGAACGTTTATAAATAAACCTCCACCCAAAAACACAGCATCTAAAAAAAGAAAAATAAATAGATCAAACAAATTTTGCCTAAACAACTCAGTGAGCTAAACTGAGAGTTCTGACTTACGTTAAATGTCACAGACGGTACATTTCTCCACTCATTCTTATTCTTAATTGTGCCTGCATCCTGATCCAAAAAAAGTTATTTGCAAGGGGTACCTGTTTTGTTGGTAACCAGGAGTTTTAGACACCTGGACCTAACCTGGAAGCCTTCTCTTCCTCCTAGCCACCACTAGAAGGAGCTGAAGACAAAAGACCAACTTTGGATTGGGATAAATGAGCAATCAATGTCTTGTTTTCCCTTTAGCTCCCTCTAGTGGCAAGTGGGAACAGTTGGCGCAGGAATAGAAGACATAAACCCAGCCCCAGATTGGAGGTCTCTATTTTTGAAATCCCTATTTATTAGAAAAATAGATACCCCTTGCAACCATCTTAAGCAGGCTACATGGGCAAGTAATGATAAAGTAGTGAAGCTAGATGTATTCTGACAGCAAGAGTAATAGCAAGCTGTGCCATATTTATGGCAAAACTGAACATGGAACTGATGATGCATTGTTGGGAATATTGCTCAATAAGCCAGATGGCTATTACTTAATACAATTTTCTTGTCGTATACTTGTACTACTAATATTATTTTAAACATTATTTATTGTTGTGTTTCATTTAATTTATAAACGGCTTACATATGTGGCTATGTGATCCACTGAGAAATGAACCCTTGGATTCTTTGAAATGCTCACCATGCTTACAGTAAATAAGTGCAATTAACAATTCCAATCGAAACAGGGAAAGGTTACGCAACCGTGCAAGGACTGGAGCTCTGGAGCAATAAATACCTTGTATTCAGTAATGTGCTTTGAAGTCAAGGCCATAGGTTATTTATGGTTATAATCTGAATTGTTGCTTTATTAAAAACACCACCATGGAAATTTCAGATTATATATTATGTGTGACATATTTCATTTTGATACAGCTCAGCTGATAAAAATGAATTACTAATACAGTGCAGGTCCTCATACCATACACTTGTTGCAAGACTCCTAAAGCATAACATGATATTATTCTCCTTCTTCTGTCTCTTCCGTATTGTAATATAAAAATGTCTTTCTTATCACTCTTACCTTGTAAGCATAAGCAGCACTGACACCCTTGTCATACTACTGTTAATCTCAGCTTGAAGGACTTAAAGTGTATGTTAACCCTAACAATGATCTTCTTCTTTTTGGTCCCCTTTGTTCTTTCTGTGTTGAACTGACAACACAGGGCCTCAGCTGCACTAAAATCACAAGAAATCTTAACAACCCTACCCAGGTTACCTGTGAACTACAGAATGCCTCCTCCTCCTCCTATTAGGGATGAGCGAACCAGGCAGAGTTCAGTTCACAGAAGGGTTGGTGAACCCAGGAGAAAAATATAAACATATATAATACAAACATAGTACTAAAACCCCACTGAAGTTTATAGGAGCTGAATCTTGCTATTTTGTTCTAGCCTTTCTCAAGGTCAGTTTTCATCTATTGTTAAAAAAAAAGGTCATGGGCACCTGGGCAGTGCCATAGTATCAATGCAAAAATGTAAATATATATATATATATA